TTCCCCCTCTCCCCGCGTGCCCCCGGGGTTCGCCTTGGGGGGGACCCCGGAAACCCGACCCCCCCGCCCGTACGCGACGAGGGGGGACGCGCGAGGGTGGCAGGCCGACGCCCCTCTCGCGCGTGCGGGGTGGCCGGTGGCGTTGGGCAGGGGGGATCCCCGCCGGGGAGGGGGGGTTCATCAAAGCTGGTGGTGATAGTGGGCGGGCGCGGTTGCAAAGCGCACAAATGCGGACCCTCCGTGAGTGTCTGCCCTTCTTTTTTTTTTGCTATCTTTTAAAGATTCTGTTTGCTTAATGCAATTTTCCAGGCATTCAAGGGCCTGGCGGGGTGTTTGTTTACTGCTCTTTTTTTTTACCACACTTTTTTTTCTCTTTCTGCTGTCACAACTCATCTGACCTCTACTCTTTTTTCTTGGCTTTTAAATAGCAAGCGTACGTTGTGCACCACCACCACCACTACCACGTGACGCCAAGGCTTACTGGAGTGACGGGAACTATTCTTTGATGTTTATTTCGAACTTTAAGTTTTTTCCCCTGCGTTTATCTTACTGAATTCTATACGCACAGACTATACTCAAAAAATAAACAGACAAGCTTTTCTACCGAGTCATTGACATACTGATACCCGCTACCTTGCCTTCAGTGAAAAATATTAAAAATTCAATTTGCTTCCTTGTACCACCACCACTTACGCTGGAAACTTGGAAAGTGATTGAGTAAATTGCCAAGGCCACACAATGCTCGATGAGGCACCGCTGGAGAGATCCAACCAATGCCGCTCACATCACAACTTTGCTTCACTCAGCTGTCTACCTATGCTAGGCCACATACAATTACGCCTCATAATGCACGATTGGACACCCAGGAACATGGGGATGCTGAAAATGGTTAGCAGAACGCATTCTTAAATTCCGTTATCGAAAGGTAAAGAATCTCTCAATCTGTACTCGGAACAAAATTTGTAGCATTAGAGAAACCATTTTAAATGCAAACTATCGAAATAAGCAGAAAACATTACTTTCGAATAAGTTTCCACAAAGGAGGCTTGACTCTACTGTAGTAATAAAGTTTAGAGGGAAGAAAACAGCACAGATGGAAAAGGCTGCAACAGTTAAAGATGGGGAGGAGGGAAATGAGAAGAATGGAGCGTCTGGCCACGGGCCCACCGCCTTGCCCTAGGGGCGCTGGTGGGTCCAGCCTTTGCTCCCCCCCGTCCCTTCCCCCATAGCACCAGGGAAAGCAGGGCCGCCCGCCTTGGGATGGACCCATAGGGTAAGGAGAGGCCTATACAAAACCTGAAAGCGGTGCTAGATGTGAGCTTGTCTTTGATGGCTTTTTCCTTTCTTCGAGTGCTTCTTTGTGAGGGAAAAGGGAGTAAAGCGAATAAATTCCAAGCCACAATACGTTTTCCTTGGGAACCTTTCATTCAATCATATTCCTCCTGGACAAGCCAGATAAAAACCTTTTTTTCGCTATCCAGTCTTCCACAAAACACTGCGAGTCCTTGACGAAACGAAACAAAATTTACTCAAACGACGTTAATTGAAAAACACTTGCATAGCATTCATTATCATCCTCAGAAGGCCCTATGGTCGAATGTAGTCCAATAAAGATCTAGAACAGCAAGGAGACACGCAAGGTTGCCTTCAACTCCGTGCGCTCCTTTCCCTGGATGCGCAGCCCCTTTTCACACAAGGTCGTTAATCCCTTTTAATCTATTTAGTTGTCCTTTTTCCTCCTGACATCTCATTTTAAATCCCCTTGCTGAGTAAGCCAATGAAGATGTGAAGGAGGAAACTAGAGTTATCGTAGCAAAAAATAGTGCCGAATGATTTCAGTAATTATTCTGGATGTGTCACTTTGATTCGCTAAAAAAAAAAACTTAACCCTGCGCTGGAAGACAAACCGACTTATATGGAATTGCTGAACAAGTCTCCAGGAATGAGCTACTCGCCCACATTGGTTTCGCGACAAACGCCGACTGGTAGTACAATGTGGTCGGCCCAACCTGCCAGTTACAGCGCTTTTGGAAGACAAAGTAGGATGTGGGATTCGACTTGCTACCCTTCTTGCCACCCTTGGGGGTCGGTGAAGGGGGTTTTTGCTCAAGCACGCACTCGATGATGTTGCCATCGTTGATCGTGAACTCCCCCACCTGCGCGTCAGGGATGTAGACGGGGATTTGCACATTGTCGGCATTCGTCACACGGACCTCGCCTTCGCTGTCGCGGGCATACGCATCAAAGCACCACATGCCATTCTCTTCCAAGTGTCCACCCCAAATCCGAATTTTGACGGTTTTCTTGTCTTCACAGGGATAAATAAAGTTTCGGCTCTCGTAGGAACCAGCGGCCATACCGTCTGGGTTAACGAAAAGGATACCCCGTGCGACGTTGGCGTACTTCTCCATGCACTTGCTTATTTTGTTCACTGGGAAGTACTCTAGAAGCCTCAAAGTGCCATCCGCGGGAAGCTTACCGAGAGACTCATTCAGCAACTCGATGCGATTGGGCAGCAGCATTTTACTTCCCAAGTGCTTACCCATCACCATCAGATCCGATATATAAATGATATTATCCAGCATGGTCGCCTCTAGACTAAAAAGGCAAGTCTTCGCGGTGGAAGGCTTATCGTCTTTCTGCGACTGCTCCTCCTTGAGGCGAGCCAGGAGGTCCTGCAGGGCTGCCGGGACTTCTTGCATCAGGAAGATTATCTTATACGACGGAAGGTGGATATACACCTTATCGTCATAACCGATGAGGGATACCTTGTCTCCCCATATCCACGGCACCACCAAGTAGCTCTTAAACAGCAACGCGTTACGAACAAACTCAAGGTAGCCCAACAAATAGTTTGGCTCCGAATAGGGAAACCCATACGGCAGTGTTTTCAGCTCCAGCGCGTCGATCTCGGCGGCGAGTACCGACTCGACCAGGTTTGGATCCGTCACCAACGTGGATTTCCGGATGAACTCAATTTTAGGCAGCCGCAACGACGGCAAGCCACGCGCCTCGACCTCCACCAGCTGCTTAATCACCTCGTTTGCCAACACCTCGAGCGATTCCGTTCCGTCGAGGACGATGATGGGGGCACCCTTATCACTATTGTTTGCCTCCTCCACCTTCTCGCCAAACTCGAAGCTCTCCGGGTGGGCCTGTTTTTGCGCCGCGCTCTCGAAGGAAAAGCCACGCTTCAAGATGTCGCTCAGCTCGTTGGTGATGATGACGAGGATGTCGATGTGAAGACCCGCCTTCTCAAGGAGGTAGTTCACGTGGTAGGGCTCGTATTTACTCCGCATCAGCGCGTCATCGATCACGATGCCTTTGATAGATTTCTTCCGCTCTAAGATGCAGGTCAAGGGCATGAAGCGGGAGGAGTTGGTTCCGTTCGAGACCTCGACGTCCTCCGCGTCCTCGCCACGGAGCCCAACGTACTCGTAATCCCGAAACTCCGCAACCTTCTTCGCGATCGTCGTCTTGCCTGTCATGCGGAAACCCGTTACGAGGATCACCTTCGGGGGTTCTTTCACGCGCAACGCCGCGTTTGTCGTGGTCAGTGGCGGGTGCCCGGCCTGCGACTGATTCTGGCGGTGATGCGGGAGGGGCGCGCTCGCCGGGGAAGGGGTCGCGTTCCGCAGCATCTCCGGTGCGTACCCCCCTCCTTGCGGGTGGCCCGCGAGGTTCCCGCGGTAGCCCCCGTAGCCGCCTCCCCCTCCCATTCCCGGCTGCTGCGGGGGCTGTGGGGGCCCGACGTTGTAGCCGCCGCCCTGCATCAGATGATGCGGCTGCGGGCGATCCATGAGGCCGCCCATGTTGAGGCCGCCACCGCCCCCCCCGGTGGGGCCGTAACCCCCACCGCCGAGGTTCATATTCATCGGCAGGTTTCCCCCATGGCGGTGGGAGCCCGCCATCGGGGGGCGCCCGACGTTCGGGGTGTTGCTGTACGGCAGGTCGTTAGGGTGGGGCGGGCCGTAGGGCGGGTGGTAGCCGCCCTGCTGGAGGGGGGAGTTCATGTTGTAGTTCGCGTTATAACGGCTCCCGCGGTTGTAGTTCCCACCGTCGTACTGCGGGCTCATTCCATAGCCGGGGTTCACATCCATGGGATTCATCATGTGAAAGTTTTCCGGGTTGTTATTCTCCATGAAGTTATTGCCGGATACCGTGCCGCTGGGCAGCGCCATTCCCACTGGGAACGGATCCGCATTGGGGTTCAGGCCGGCCGCGCCTCTGTGATTTTTACCAGACATCCTTCCGCTGCTTTATTTACACCTACTTCTTACAGTAATGGTTACCCAATTTTGCTACGGGCTTTCCACGCGAAGTGCTTGTGCCAAGGGTTGCACTCCTCACGGGTTTATTTTAATTACCTACTCTTAAAGTGCCTGGCTTTCACTCTGCCAAATCAATATGCAACAACAGCAATAACACCAATAAAGGCAACTCACAAGCACTTTAACAACCTTATTTTTTATCCTAGCGGATTAGAGGGGAAAAAAATTTTAATTAGAAGCAAAAAAAGAAAGACTGGGGATAGAAATAAGGTATAGCAAGCTGTGTAGTTTAGAAGTGAGAAAATGAATTGAAAAGTCAAATACATATACACATATATCTATATAGATATATATACATATATCATCAGCATTTCTTGTGATTCCTTTGAGAAGCCACAGATTTTTTTTGTGGTGGTTGTAACTTAACGTTTAAACATTAAAACCTGTTGAAAAAATGAATGAAATGGATGAACATAAAGACACTATATGTCACGGAAGCAAAGTAAACAAACAGCCATAACAGTAGTTTGTTCGTTTGAATCCAGTGTAGGTAAGATGATTGCTAAATTTTAGCACCCAAGTCATGATAATTTACACAAACACGCCCCAAAGGGAAATATACAACCTGAGTCGGAACACATGGAAAGGGGAAACCTCGCATAGATATAAATATTTTCCATCTGGATGCACTTCCCTAGGAAGTCGCAGAAAGATGGAGAACAAGTGATTTAAGCTTCCTGCGCTCTGGGAAGGGGAAAGAAATAGGTCGCAATAAACCGTTCAGATTACTATTAGAGGTATTTATTTCGATACATCATTCATCGGCTTGTGCGCAGCAGAATTCAAATCCTCCCTAGAATCAGTGTCATCCAATTTTTTCAACGGTCCCACGTAACTCACTAGACTAGTTTCGCGGAGAAGCTCCTCATACGTGAGATGCGAGAGCTGTACAATCTGCTTCACCATCGAAAATTTGTTGGGAGCTGGTTTGTCTTCACGAACGCGATGGAAAGCCCACAGTGTGCAATGCACCGACTGGGAATCTTGAGTAACGATGCTCTCTTTCTGTATTTTTTGTAGGCACAGTTCCACAATTTTGCCTTCGCTCAAGTGATTTTCGAGCACTTCTTTTGAGGTGAAAACAGCGACAGCGCCCGGAAAGAGCATCTCCTCCCAAGATTCTGGATTCTTTGAATTTGAATCAGTGACGCGGAGCTGGAATTGCCGCATCAGTCCGTTCTCCGACCTTAGCCCCCTATCTAGGCGAAAGTCTGCGGTGCACAACTCTTGTGGTTTCCACTTTAACATGTATCGGTCCATTCCAAATCGATAGACTTCATTATGCTGGAAGACGATGCCATCGATGGCGAAGGGTGCTTCGTCAATCTTTTTCAGAATAGTATGCAATTTGTTAATGGGTACGTACTGTTTAAGGCAGAAGTGTGGCGGGCTTTCCATGTTCGTAGGATAGTGGTGCGACTTTGGAATCCACTTCTTCAACATTTGGTATCGGTCCAAGAACGAAATCGATTTGGCCTGGTGTCCGTGGAAATAAATGAAGTCAATGATGTGAAGCATGGTATTACCCTGATAGTCTACCTGCAACTCCGCATCGAGAATGACATCAATTGGGCTATCCCCAACGAAGTTTTGCGGAAGTTCCAGCCCAACAAAGAGATTATTAAAGTTATAACAGCAATTAAAAATAAAAGGAAAGCCCACAAAACCATACTCCCGGTGCCGGGCCACCAAGTATCGCTGCCCATCGACCTTAAGAGTCACGTTCATGAAGTGAGCCACAAACGACCTATTTCTGCGTGCATTTTTGAAGAACTCGCGATCCACATAGCCACCTATCGAGCAAAGCGGTGAGGAGTCCGTCCGGCCTGCCGAATTCCCAACGGCGACATGAATGGCCTTCTTGAGCTGCTCGACGACGGTGTACTTGACGATCGGTGGGAGGGCTATATTCGCACTTGCGACGGAGAGCACCGGCAACGTCACCGCGTTCCGATTCGGATCCCTAATAAACCGCTCCACCGCGTCGATGATGACCTGACTGGCCGCCTCCTTATCCAACGTGTTGCAGTTCACCTCCACGAGGCGACCACACGGCCGGTAGACCTTCTCCGCGGCCGCCTCGTGGGCGACCTTCTCGATATGCCGCCACTGCTCCAACGCGGGCTTCACCTCGCCACGGGACTCCGCGCGCGCCATCCCGACGCGGGGGTCCACCTGAAGCCAAAACACCAACGGCGTCGGCAGATTCGCCTCGCGCAGGATGGACTCGATGTAATACGCGTCCACCTCACTCTTCACGATGAAGCGATCTAAGACCAGGCCGTTGTAGGCCCGCAGCCCCTGCGGGCCGAACTGCTCCTGCACGATGCGCTCCAGCTCCCTAAAGGGTTTTTTGCCCTCACGAAAGAGGTTGCCAGAGGACACCCACAGGAGGTGGTACCGCTCCGCGAGTATCTGTGATTGAGTGCTCTTCCCCCCTCCTCGACAGCCGTAGACCAGCACCACGAGGGGGTTTTCCGGGGAGAGCTTCACGGCCGCCGCGCTGTTCTCGGAGAGGGGGGCGACCTTTGCGGGCGATTTCACTTCCAAAGGTTCCTTCGGTTCCTTCAGGGAATCACCTTTAGGGTGGGGGGGAGTCCAGGAGCTCGGCACGTAGGCGGGGGCCGCCGTATTGAGGGCATTCTTCGAGAGCGGAGGGGCGAGATCGATCTTCGCCGTGGGAATCGTCGTCGTCGTCGCCGCCGGGGGTGGTGTGGGTGGTGGATTCGCGCCATCTACGATTGGATTAGGGGGCTGCTCCTCAGCCGGATGCGAGGGTGCCGGGTCGAAGGGCGGGATTCCCGCTATGGAGGCCCCTGTCTGTGGCCGTTGCCCATTTTCCATGGAGGTGAAGTTTGGAAAAGGCGGTTGGGGCGGGAGGACGCTGCCGGGAATGGAGGGGTTGAACTCCCCCTTTGACGGCAGGGGATGAGTGTGGGATGGGTATGGAACCGGCGGCGTAAAACTCAGTGCCTTTACCCACGGATTGGTACTATGATTTGGGGGGATAAAGGCCTCGTTGAATTGCCTGGGCCCCGCTGGTAGCGCATTATTGTGTGGGCCCATGTAATCACAGGGCATTTCGCAGAATTGCGGCTGCGGCTGCCTCCCCATGGGGGGGGTTTGTGGGATATACAGATGGGGATGGGGGGGTTGCTCAGGCGCGGGCAATGGAAAGGCGTGCGGGCGGGGATGATTCCGTGGAAGTCGAAAGCCGCTAAGAAGCGGCACGTCGTAGCTTAACGGCCGCGCGGGATGGTCCACGCTGGGAAGCAGCGGCGCATTTCCTCTGGAGACAAACGAATCAGCTGAAGCATTGGGAACGTGAAAGTGTGTGGGATTGAAGGCCTCAGCATTAGGGTTTAGTTTGACTTGAATATTTTCATCTTTTCTATTTACTTGTAATGACATTTTTTTAAGCCTCAAATTCTCCTATCGAGCGCGTAGGGGACGGAAGGCGTGAAGCTACGAAACAGAGTGCGTTTCAAGAGGCTATGCACACACGCACACACACAAATATATATAAAATCGGGTTTAAGGTCGTTTCTTTTTGTGATTAAATGGTGTACAACTAGCCTAGAATTTCTACTGGAATGGGTTGAAACAACGCAACGTGAAAAGAGGAGGTGATAGAGATTCGTCTTGAGAATTATAGTACGAAATTATTCATTTGAATTACCCAGTAGGTATCAAATAAGGAAAGTCAAGGGGGGAAGGAATAGGAATCAACAACATTCCTTTTTTCCGTCCTCTTTACCACCACTAATAAGTGTATACAGAGGACGCGCCCCAAACCAAAAAAGGTGTCAACGACATCTCCGCAAAATTTATAATCATTCATTCCTCAATGATATTTTGGAAGCCGCCGCTAAGCCCTTCGAAGTATGAAAATTTCTTCGGAGTCTGCCAGTCCTCGCCATAGTACTCTTCCAAGTATCGTATGGGCGGAAGCTTCATAGGTGGTCCACCTCCCATCAACATACCTTTCCCCCCCGCCTTTGACGAACTTGAAAAGCAGAAAGTCGTATCCTCTAGCTCCTCTCGAAAAGGGTGGTAGCGAAAGCGGTACATCTGATGCTTCCGTAAGCCAGCATCCGCATAATACGTTGCGGACCACACAAACGGTCCACCAAAGGCCGCTACGAGATTCTCATCGTCTGAAAGTGGTGGATAGTAGACATTCAGATCCAGCCGAACGGATGTCGGCGCGTGCAAGAAGCGCAGTTCCAACCCCTTCCAAACCGTTCCACACACATCGATCACAATAAACTTGGAATCCTTCGTCAGCAAAAAGATCAACTCCAGAATAGCTCTAGATGCGAGCTCGACCGCGGAAATGGGGTCCGGCCCCCGGTTGGATTCGATAGCACTTCGCGATGAAGCCTCGAGTTGCACCGCCCTTGCACCGACGGGCGGCAAATCCTCAAAGAAAACCCCAACATCGACGTCCTCATCGTGTGGGATGAAATACCCCTCCCGTCGCGCCCCCAGGGCGGTCCCACAAGCCAGGAAGAAAGGCAACTGAAGGGTATTCGCCGCCTCACGAAAGGCAAGCAACGCCTCACGGAAGTTCCATTGCTTGACGACGGCCTCACGGGAGGGGAGAGCGGCGTGGATGCGCACGAGAAAGTCATCCTCACCGCCAATCGCCACCGCGGGTGGGGGTGGGGGTTCTCGGGCTCCCCCCTCCTCCGGCGTCGGTAGACGAAGCGTGGTGGGGAGAACCATCCGCGGATCGAGCAGATCCTCGGCTGCCCGTTCAAACGCGCGCGCTTCCGCAGGGGCTGCTGCTCGTTCACAAAAACTATCCAAATACGCCGCGGCCCCACTCAGAAGGTCCTCCGTGAGGACTGAGGTGGGCTCCTTAAAGGCCTCCCAGGAGGGCCGAAGCCCCTCACGTTGGAGTCGAGATGGTGGTGGTGGTGTCGAAAATTCGTTTAGCCACGCCTTCAATCCGTGGAGTCGCATCTCCACCACGGTTTTTCCCTCCTTCCCCGCGTATTGAGGGGTGGAGGGCATTGCAAGGGTATCCTTGTTCCTCTCACCATCATTCTGATACGATACGGGGCGAGACTTCGAGCTCGCTTCGACGGCACTTTCGCAGATCGCGCAAGGATCCCGATGAAGGTGGGGGCGGAAGGCAGACCACCGCAGTCGTGATGGAAAGAACACTCCTCTCACCATGAAGTTCCTCTTTGATTAAAATAAATAAATAAAACATCAATCAAAAAGAGGTAGATCAGAACGTTATTTCAGACAACAGGATGCAACGAACGGGAAAGATGACGTGAGTCGTTTCGAAAAGACGTACGGCATGGGAGCAATCCCAAGAGGACTATTTTGGTTGTGATTTAGCGAGATAAATCTAATTAGTTGTGGAATTTTATACACAATCCTCAACACGTGTGACCATCGTCACTTGAATTAATTATTTCCTTCCGCACCCAAATCTACTCAGTCGCAAGCGCCGACACATGCGCGCAACCAACACGTCGATACCCTTTGCATGTGCAATCTAAAATCATCAGAAGAGGGGGGCGCGGTGTAGTAAAAAATATATAAGCAAAGGGTAGTTCCCCCCTTCCCTTCCCTTCCCTTCTTTTCCCTCTCCCTCCTGTCTTCCTCTCACATGAGCCACCTATGGGGACGCATCCTTCGTTCTCCATCCCCCCTCACAACCCTAAAAGAGAAAGGTCTCCACGTAGATGGTCACCGCGGCGTTGAGCACGCGATCGATCTGCGTTTGCGCCGCCGCGGCGATCGCCTTGCGGGAGCGGAGATCCAACCCGCAGAGGGCCTCCAGCAAGGGGGTGTGGATCATTTGCTCCTTCGCCGTGATCGAAAGCGCGGCGTCGTCTTGGCGGAAACCCAAAAACATCCGCGGGGGCAGCCCTGCCGGGTGTGGGAGCTCGCCCTGCAGGCGCCGCACCACCCACTGCGCGGTGCGATTCACCTGGTCGTTGATCGCGACGACGAAGCCGATCGCGCCGAGGGCGGTCGCGTAGACGTGGACGGCCGTCGGCTGCGGCTGCTGCGTCGAGCGGAGGCGGAGCGTCTTCACGAGGCTCCCCCCCCCGACGCGGTACTCCGCCTCGACGGTGAGGATCGACTCCAACAGCCGCGCGCGATCCCCCCCGGCCTGCACGCGCGGCGCGTAGCCGAAGAGCGCGAGGTTGCGGTCGTCGTCGGCGGCGAGGAGCCCGAAGGCGGGGCCGCGGTAGAGCCCGTCGACGTGCGTCGTCGACCACCGGTGGAGGTCCTTGGCGAGGATCGTGAGGGTGTGGGTCGCCGCGCTGAAGCGCGCGAGGCTGACGGAGTGGTAGAGATCCCCAATGAGGAGGAACTCGCGAACCGCCCGCAGCCGCGTGACGTAGGCCCCGGCGTAGAGCATCGCCATCGTCTCCACT